GGCTGGCCCGGGCATACGCAGTCCCGGAGCGCTGCCCATCCCATGTACGGTCCCGGCGGAGCGTGAACGATTCCCTCCCGCCCGCTCACACAGTTGCGTACTGCCTGGCTGGTAGACACACTCACTTACCTAATTAGAAAATACCGGACATTTTATATGTCCGGTATTTTCTCAATTTGTTTCCCAAACAGAACCCTCAAATACCAAACTGTCTAGTTCAAAACCGACAGCTGGCAACCCTAAGCGAGTCACTCGGAGTGAGTTACTAGAACCTCTCCAAAAAGGACAATAGTCATGTCTTTGGGCCCAGGCAATTACCTCTGTGGATTCCCCACAGAGAATGTATGAAGGAAGCATTCAGCAGTCTAGTCAGAAATAGTCCTATAAAGATTACACAAAGCCGAGGGGGAGACAGGGAGGGAAATGTTAAACTAAAAATAGACACCAGTGACAGGAGCATAGCAGGGAAACATCACTTGTGTGTGAGGGCCTCTCTCAATGAAAAAAGAGCTGCATGCCCTTATGCAACAGAGCTCAGCTGACTCACAGCCAGGCCCTCTCAGAGGCCCAGAGAGGCAGGGCCACTTCCAGCTTTTGAGGCCCCTAGCCAGAGTACAAATAAAATTAAATGATGACACATGAAAACAAAATAAGGCACCACCAAAAAAAAAAAATGAATGAATATTTTTTAACAAATGCTTTTCTAGCCTTTCTCTGTGCAAAAAAAATCAACAAGTGTCTAAATGTGAGGCCCCTTTCAGGTTGAGGCCCAGGCCAAATGGCCCTCCTGACCCCAGTTCTCTGGTTGGCCCTGCTCACAACACATGAACGATGCAGCCTTCGGTACAGGGCTGAACAAGAGAATCACAGAATGCACTCTCTAAAATGCCATGGCAAAGAATGGGCAGCAATCAGACTTGGTAGAGTTTGTGCTTGATGACGACTGACCCTGCTGCCCTCACTCTCGTAAGTCTTCTCCAGAGGGGCAACATAAAGTTGCCTCATCAGGAGTAACGGCTGCCCAGTAGGCTCTTTGACTAAGATGTGCAATGGAAAAGTTTAGATCTGTATCACAGTCATTAAAATCTACCTTCACTCTAGCCATTGGCCTAATGCCTTGGATGCATTCAAGTTTCCAAGAGTCTCCTTCAGGCTTCTGTAGTATTAACAATACAGCAAGATTTTAGCCAGGGAGGTCACAATTCAGCAAGGCACTTGAACCTGTGCCTCACTTAAAATACACAAGTAGTGCAAGACCTTTCACTTTCCACTATGAAATTTCATCCCATTTCTATTACTGAAGTTTTCAAGTTCACGCAGATCTTCCTCAAGTATATTCTGGTCTTCCTCTGTATTGGCAATACCTCCCAACTTTGTGTCATCTACAAATGTTATTAGCACACTCCCACTTTCTGTGCTAAAGTCAATAATAAAAATGTTAAATATGACTAGGATAGCCTCCGCTTTTACCAGTTGCTTATCCACCCTTCAATTCTCATATTAATTCCCATGTTCTCCAATTTAACTAAGAATTTTCCATGTGGAACTATAATAAATGCCTTCCAGAAATACAGGAAGATTTGCTCTACTGCATTTCTTTTGTCTAAAAAATCAGTTATCTTCTCAAAGAAGATGATCAGTTGTCCTGGCACCATTTACCTTTTGTAAAGCAACGCTGTATTTTATGCCAATTACCATCCTTAACTATCTTCTCTTTCAAAATTTGCATACAATCAAGGTCAAACTTACAGGCCTTTAGTTTCCCATATAATTTTTTGTCTTTTTCTTAAAGCTGAGAGAGCTAGACATGGCACCTATGATGAATGGAGATCCTGCTAACAGAAGGCGTGATCCAAAATCCAACAAAATCAAAGGGAGTTGGCATTTGCATGCATTGGATCAACCCCACAGTGCAGAACTTCTAAGCTGATGAGCCATCCAGAGGCTCTACAAGGCACTATCCACACACTTAGTCATTAGCTGTGATTAAGGATATGTCACCCTCAACATAGCAAACAGAGCACTTCAAACAAAAATAGTGTGTCATGCTGTGCTCAGGCAATAAGGATATCGTAGCCAAAGCGAATCACGTCGTTCAGCTTTAGTGTGATGTACTTCTGGTCAGGAATCCGGACATCGTTCACAAAAGTCTGCAAGACAGAAGCACAGGCCTTGTTTTGAGGGAAGGCATAATGTTTATATATTTAATCAAGCAACCCAATGGAACACATGTATACAGCTCTGGAAACACTTAGCTCACCCTCAAAACAAAATATAGTTTGACAATTAGAACTACTCACATTCTGTGTACTGGGTTTAATTTTCTTTAGCTAGTACAGTAACACTCACATGCCCCCATGGAGATCAGTACTACAACATGCTAGGATCTGTACATGTACTTGCTCTGAGGCAGGGCGCTGCCTCAAAAAGCTTACCATTTAAATAAACTGTAGAAACCGGGGATGGGTGGAGGCAGGGCATGCATGAAAGGAAGCTTCTTCATCATTTGTATTGAAGTGGTACCTAAGGCCACATTATGCTTGGTGCTATATAAAATACGGAACTAAAAAATACCCCCACCCAAAAGAGCTTACAACTAATTATTCCCATTTCACAGATGGGGAACTGAAGCCCAGAGAGGTTAAGTGATTTGCCCAAGGCCATACAAGAAGTGTGTGGCAGAGATGGAAATTTGATGCCCGGCCTCCCAATAGAAAAGAAATTAATCCACATGTGAAAATCAGGCAATTGTGTGCAAGTGCGTCTTGTATAGCTGGTTTGAAAATAAAAAAAAGTTCACAAACTTATGCAAACAAATGCTGGTGGGAGCTAGACATACAGCTGCACTTAGATCAGAAGACGGGCACTGGCAAACACTGGGAATTATCACATGTTCCAAGGTGGAATTCTACATAGATGGGAAATGAGCATCAAGCTGCCTGATACAGGGTTTTCAGCACAGCAACGCAATTCCTTCCTTGGGTGGGTGAGAGCAGAGTCACTGCTTGCAAAACACAACAAAAACCTGACTCTCTCAAAAGGGACTTTGAAGAAACGGGTTTACAAAGGAAAATGAGCAAATATGTTTGCCGTGCTGGGGCATAACTTTCCCCTCCTAATCCTCTCACAATAGTCCAGATTAAGCACGCATGACAAGCCCAAGAATTAAATCCAGACAAATAGAGTTTAGATCATAGGGCAAGATCCACAGCTGGAGCAAAATCAGCAAAACTCCATGTGCTTCACAGCTGCAGTGATTTACAGCTGCTGAGGACCTCGTCTGTAGCATCAGAACGAAAAGAGGTACCGGGATGTGAGGGCAGGGTGGACTCCCATTAGGACAGTAGTGGATAAAATATGGCCTGTGGGCTGGATCTGATCCACCAGATATTTGAATCTGACCCACAATGACCCCTCCCCCCCCAGGCTAGTAATGTCCCGCAGCCCAGTAGGGCCCTCAGACAGGCTTCCCCACACTCCATTCAAAGCAGCCAGCTGCTGAGCCAAACATGTCTCTGAGTGCCTGCCTGCCTCTAGGAGGAGGGGAGAGAAGGGCAGTGGATAGACACATGCCACCTTGCCCAGCATCCTCCTCACAGCACCAACTGGCCAGTTTCCAGCCAATGGGAGCTGCAGGGGCATTGCCCCCTCCCTCCAAGGGGCAAGCAGCGACACACTTGCCCCAAAAGCCAGCAGCTTTGAACAGTGTGTGGGGCTGCAGCAGGCGGCCGGGCTGCCCGAGCACCTGACTGGTCAATGAGCCAGGAGCCATTTATGAAAACCCTCCCAGCCAGAGCCTAAACTTGATACCCGCTCCTGCACTGAAACACCCTTCTGAAACCAAGTTCCCTCCCTGACCCTATACTCCCACCCTTTGCCCCAGGTCCTGCACCCAAACTCCATCCCAGACTTGCTCCTCTCCATTAATATACCAGAAAAGTGCAGCCCATGACCACTTACAAATTCTTGCAGTGTCCCACTGTGACAATTACTGCCCATCCCCACCTTTGAGAGTACAAAGGTCCCTATGCAGAGCTTACCTCCTCCACTGAGTGATGGTTTGTTATATTTACTACTAAATATTAATGTTTATTTAAAGCAAGCGCACAGCAGCTTGCATCACCTCGGCCGTCACCTATCAGCCCCCTTCAGCAGCTGCTGCTTCTTTGCCAGGGTGACTTACCTGCCTCACAAGTTCTTATCTCGTGCGCCAGCGACAGTATTTATGAAACAAAATAACAAACACGGAGCACTCCCGCAGAGCTTTCCATTTCCAAATCCCTTTACTAACTCTTAGCTTCCCTATACACAATGCATCAGAGAGACACACAATGCACATTGCATAGAGGATAATGGAGAGTCCCAAGCCTGGTCTACATACAGTTTTTGTACCACTGTACTATTAAGGGGAGGTGATTTTTTTTTAAACCAAGATAGTTATAGTAGTACATCCCCTAGGCTATGTCCACACTGTTGGTTTTTAGCAGAAGAGGACATGCAAATGAAGCGCTCATTTACAAATCTCATGCTTAAATTTGCATATTCTCTTCTGATTCTTTTTGCGGAAGAGGTTTTTGCGAAGAAAAAAAAAACCCACAGCGTAGACTAGGCCATTTTTCAGAAAAAAACCCTTTTGCGCAAGATCCTGTAAACCTCATTTTTTAAGGAATAAGGGATCTTGAGCAAAAGGGTTTCGTTCCAAAAATGGCCCCGTCTACACTGCGGGGTTTTTCGCAAAAACCTCTTCCGCAAAAAGAATCAGAAGAGAATATGCAAATGAGAGTGTGAGATTTGCAAATGAGCGCTTCATTTGCATTTTCTCTTCCGCAAAAAACAAACAGTGTGGATGTAGCCCTACGGTGGACACAGTTATACCAGTACAAAGGTGCCTTATGCAGATACAATGCACTCTTCTTTCCCACCAGAAATGGCTGTATCAGTATCAAGTGTCAATAGAGCAATATAACTGCATCAGCAGTAGGGGGCCAAACAGCCTTAATTCCACCACTTTAGCTAACGCAGTACAACTTGGGTGTGTAAACAAGCCCTAAGGGTACATTTACACAGCAGCGTTATTTAAGAATAGCTGACGTTATTCCGAAATAACACCACGCACATCTACACAGAAAGCCTTTTATTTCGAAATAATTTCGAGCTGGAAGACTTCTTACTCTGACTCATCATAACCCTCATTTCATGAGGAGTAAGGGAAGTCAAAGGAAGAGTGCTCTTCCTTCCAAATCCTGCTGTGTAGACAACGCCAAAAGCCATACTAAACTATTTTGACTTCAGCTACACAATTGATGTAGTTGAAGGCTTGCGTAGATTAATTCAACGTTAGCCCTGCTGTGTAGACATTCCTTAAGTGACTTGCCTGAAACCATATGCTGCGTGGATGCCAGAAAAGGATACTCAAGAGTACCTGTCTCCCAGCTCTGTGCTGAATTCATCAGGCCAAGAGGCCCCTCAGTTTTCACAACAGAAGTAGACAGGGAGAGAGGAATGGTGGGGATCTATTCCAATGATTTAAAAAGTAATTTTTAAATGCTTTATCTCAACAGAGAAATTAAATGGCATTCCACACCGTTAATTAGGAATTCCACATTGTTAATTAGGAAGACAGTTGACTTGTCCAAGGTCACCCTGCTTCACATGAACAGCTGACAGAAGAGGCTTTACTAGTTTTACAGTTTTATACTGCCAGTCAGAAAGTGTCAATGCAGAACCCATTTTGGCCCAGGTGTGGAGGGAAGAAGAGGAACTGTATTCTCTCTTTTCTAATTGGCTCTATGACTGAATTAGTAACTGGAGAGTTCAGCAAGGCTGGAGGTGGGGCAGAGAAAGAGGGAGCACCAAAATAATGGAAAATCACTTCAGTGGATGTGTGTTTATCTTCTAGTTAAACAAAGTCATTAACCAAACCAGCCATGCACACACTTAGGCAGGTCTTCAGCTTCATTCACCTGAATCCCACAGACTCAAAATGCATCTACTTTTGTAAGTTAAAGTTAAGCATGCTCATAAATGTATGATTAGGATTTAGACATGCACAGTGCATATGTTTTAGCCAGCGGATGAGTTTACAACTTACCCCATTTAAGCTCCCCAGATCCTTCACCCTGTGCTCATCTTTGTCCTTGTCATAGTTGATTACAGCATGCTGCTTATCCACACTGCGGGACTGGAAACAAAAGCATAATGAACTTGAGACTGGCCAGACACCAGAGGTTATGGTAATCAAAACAAAGTGGAGATATTCCCCTTACCTGGTATGGGGATAGGTGGAAGATTACACATAATTAATTCTATAAATAGTCAGAGGATAAACAGGAAAAGCTGACATGACTGTTCTAAATATTCCATTGAACTCATTATCATAGAATATTAGAATACTAGGACTGGAAGGGACCTCTAGAGGTCGCATCTAGTCCCCTGTCCTCATGGCAGGACCCACTGCTGTCTAGACCATCCCTGCTAGACATTTATCTAACCTACTCTTAAATATCTCCACAGGTGGAGATTCCACAACCTCCCTGGGCAATTTATTCCAGTGTTTAACCACCCTGACAGTTAGGAACTTTTTCCTAATGTCCAACCTAAACCTCCCTTGCTGCAATTTAAGCCCATTGCTTCTTGTTCTATCCTCAGAGGCCAGGAAGAACAAGTTTTCTCCCTCCTCCTTATGACACCCTTTTAGATATCTGAAAACTGCTCTCATGTTCCCTCTCAATCTTCTCTTTTCCGAGCTAAACAAGCCCAATTCTTTCAGTCTTCTTTCATAGGTCATGTTCTCTAGATCTTTACTCATTCTTGTTGCTCTTCTCTGGATCTTCTCCAATTTCTCCACATCTTTCTTGAAATGTGGTGCCCAGAACTGGACACAATACTCGAACTGAGGCCTAATCAGTGCAAGTAGAGCGGAAGAATGACTTCTCATGTCTTGCTCACAACACACCTGCTAATGCATCCTAGAATCATGTTTGCTTTTTTTGCAACAGCATCACACTGTTGACTCATATTTAGCCTGTAGTCCACTATAACCCCTAGATCCCTTTCTTCCATACTCCTTCCTAGACAGTCACTTCCCATTCTGTATGTGTGAAACGGATTGTTCCTTCCTAAATGGAGCACCCTGCATTTGTCCTTATTAAACTTCATCCTGTTTACCTCAGACCATTTTTCCAATTTGTACAGATCATTTTGAATTATAACTCTGTCCTCCAAAGCAGTTGCAACCCCTCCCAGCTTGGTATACCTGCAAACTTAATAAGCATACTCTCTATGCTGACATCTAAATTGTTGATGAAGATATTGAACAGAACCGGTCCCAAAACAGATCCCTGTGGAACCCCACTTGTTATACCTTTCCAGCAGGATTGTGAACCGTTAATAACTACTCTCTGAAAATGGTTATCCAACCAGTTTTGTACCCACCTTATAGTAGCCCCATCTAAGTTGTATTTGCCTAGTTTATTGATAAGAATATCATGTGAGACTGTATCAAATGCCTTACTAAAGTCTAGGTATACCACGTCCACCGCCTCTCCCCTATCCATAAGTCTCGTTATCCTATCAAAGACAGCTATCAGATTGGTTTGACACGATTTGTTCTTTACAGATCCATGCTGGCTGTTCCCTATCACCTTATTATCTTCCAAGTGTTTGCAGATTATTTCCTTAATTACTTGCTCCATTATCTTTCCTGGCACAGAAGTTAAGCTCACAGGTCTGTAGTTTCCTGGGTTGTTCTTATTTCCCTTTTTATAGAGGGGCACTATATTATGATTAGTCGTGTGCTGAAAGTTTAGCACAAGGATAAGAGTTTGCAAGATTGGTGCCTACCAGTCCATCTCAGATAACAGACAAACCTACTTAGCAATTTTTTTTAACATTTATTACCAAATTATTTTTAAAAGGAAAAATTCATTTAAAGCCACCGTTTTTAAGGCAGGATTTCAAAGTGTGACAGCAGCACACACTCAAACCAAACTAACCACACTTAAAAACTGGGGCAGATTCCCAGCTTCTGTCAATTCTCATTGCTCCATATTTACACCAGCCAAGAATCTGCTGCCTTATCTTTTGGAACTTTCCTATTTTTAGTCATGTCTTTGTATTTCTAATCTCATTTTATTTAGTTACTTTCCAAGATGCAAATGCAGCTAGATTTTCTTTAAATGATTTTCCCCCCATACTTTGGCTTTGAATCGCTTTCCTTTGTGCATGTGTACAAGTTCAGTCTCGCAGATTAGTTGCATAATTAAATGCGAGAATGTTCGGGTTTGGGTTTTTAAAAATAAGTTTTTTAAAATATCACTAAGCAAAATCCAATTTTAAAACAAATTGTCGTTATGTTCAATAGGATGGGTGATTGCACACATTACTTCCTTGCATTTTGTTCAAACACAGCAAAGACGATACCAGCTTTTGTGGCGGATATTTACATTTTTCACTCAAGACATGTAACACATTTCCATCTAAGTTTCTTCTTTATTAGGAGAAAGATGTTCACTTCCTTTTTAATAATAAAAGGAACTTAATTGTCTAAAATCTCTGTTCTGGGAATACAGTAAAAACTCTGTTATCCGGCTCTCAATTAACCAGAAAGATCAATTAACCAGCACTTCTGGTATCTCCCAACAGGCATGTTGACAGCAGGCGGAAGTTGCAGGAACCCTGCTTCCTAGTGCAGTTGCCAGCTCCAGCCCTGGGGCAGCCTGTGTTAGCTCTTTGGCTGCTCCCAGGGTGGAGGGGGGAGTGGAGCTTGGGCCCCCAGCCCTGCCCTCCCCAAGCAAGTGCCCTATCCCCTGGGCCACTCCAGAGCACAGCCCACCTCCCTATGTGGGGAGTTTCAGGGAGCTATAGCCCCCAACATTGCCCTCCCCAAGTGAATGCCCTATTCCCTAGGCCCTCCGTACCTTCCAGGCATCCCTTATGCTTCCTTCCGAGTGCTAGAGCCAGCTCCTGCTCTGGGGTAGCCTGTGTTGGCTGAACAGCTGCTCCCAGGGTGGGTGTGGTGGGGGATTCGAACCTAGCACCTTGTGGTCCCCAGGGATGGGTTACTGCAGCAGCAGCCAGAGCCCGAGCCCTTTAAATCTCCACTGGAGTGTTGGGTGGCACTGAAATGCTGGTGGAGGAAGCCTAGCTTCCAGCCCCACCCCTTCTGTCCAAGGCCCTGCCTCTTCCAGGAAAATGGAGACTGGCCCTTCCGCCACCTTGCCCAGGGGCCAGCAATTCTGTCAACCTCCCTGTCTCCCAATACAAATCTTCCATCTAGTAACAGGGACAGTATACTGCCCAGCATACCATGCGATTGCATATTCTGCACTCTACTTTCATGCAAGAGAGGCAGAAGACAAGTAAGCAAGCTGAAATCAGGGATTTAGTCAAAAAAGCAGCTTCCAGGATGTGTCGTAGGGTCATTACAGACTCAGCCCAATCTCCTTCACCTTCCACATCTACAGTGATAATTGATGTTGATCATGACGACTCTGAGGCACTGCAAGACCCTGACGTACCTTCTGAATCATCACAGAAAGATTCAATTATGTTCAGTATAGTTTAGCGTTAAGTGCATTTTTAGTGATCTGGGTGTACGCCATGAGCTGCCCATAGTGATATGTGGTGTCAAAAGATAACCTACTGTACAGAAAACATTACCTATATATACCTAAGGGCTTTGAGAAACCAACTCCTCTGTGGTGCAGAACTGCTACTATATTGGTGAGTACCGATGGACTATTTTACACCCTATTTGTTTTATTGTATTCTAATTCTTTGAAAATGTGTATTCGTCCCTGTAATCTCTCTAGGGAACGTGTTTACACAATAGCCTTATGTTGGAGTGTTCTGGCATGATCCTTCTGGGATGTATTTATGTAACTTCTGAGCACCCAGAACTGTAAGGCTACGTCTACACTGGCCCCTTTTCCGGAAGGGGCATGTAAATTTCACTCGTCGTCGTAGGGAAATCCGCGGGGGATTTAAATATCCCCCGCGGCATTTAAATAAAAATGTCCGCCGCTTTTTTCCGGCTTTTAAAAAAGCCGGAAAAGAGCGTCTAGACTGGCCCCGATCCTCCGGAAAAAGTGCCCTTTTCCGGAGGGTCTTATTCCTACTTCGAATAAGAATAAGACCCTCCGGAAAAGGGCGCTTTTTCCGGAGGATCGGGGCCAGTCTAGACGCTCTTTTCCGGCTTTTTTAAAAGCCGGAAAAAAGCGGCGGACATTTTTATTTAAATGCCGCGGGGGATATTTAAATCCCCCGCGGATTTCCCTACGACGACTAGTGAAATTTACATGCCCCTTCCGGAAAAGGGGCCAGTGTAGACGTAGCCGTGAAGTATAACTCTCAGTTAACCAGAATACTCAATTAACTAGTACCCCTCCCTCCATTCCCCCAACATGCCATATAACAGAGTTTTTCCTGTACCTACACACAGATAACTTTATTCAAATAATTAGCCCCAGTGATTTTTTATGATGTTAACTGCACTCAGTAAATTTAATCTTCAAAATGCACAAATTAGCTGCAGGTAAAATAAACTGTTTCTTTAAAGTTTTGAAAAAATTAATGAGGTTATTGACACTGTCTGCTCTATATTTAGGATTATTTTCCATTTCCCAATATGACCTGAATTCTAAATGGAAAAACTAGATCAGTCAATGAAAAGCCCATCAATATAAACCTCTGTGGTATCTCTTGGTATCCACAAAATGAACAAACTGTTGGAAGAGAGGGGCTGCTCCCCTTCTCCAGGTACATACACACTGGCTTCCATAATGCTATTCTCAAAATGGCTCTGCCAAGTTGCTTTTAAGCAAACAGAGGCCTTCACTATTTCATGAGAATTCCAGTATTAAAACAAAAGGATGGCTTTTTTTTGGTGACAAATATTGTAATACTTTGCTAGAATTTTTCTCCCTTGCTGATGTCAAACATGCCACTAATGTTCCTAGCAGCAGATAAATCCTCAGCTTTTTCTTCTTTTTCTAGACTAAGGAAATGTGGGCTCCCAAATGACCCCAATGAGTTGACTGGAAACAAACATATATTCCAGTTGGGGGATATGTGTATATATCATGTGATATCCTGCATCATTTGCAACCTGCTGCAGACAGCAGAAGTTATTGCTTAGATAGTTTTTAAAACAGCTTTGTCTCGGGCTGCATCACTAATACT